CTTTTTGTTAAAAATTAGTGACCACGACATGTCACGTCTTACTCTTTTTATTTATTTTGTATGTATGTTTTTTTATTCAATTTTTTTTTAAAATAGAATAATATTATTTCCAAATTAAACAAAATTTATTATTTATATAAATGTCACACAAATATTTATATTAAAAATATTCTTTTAACCTATTACATTATTATATATTATTTTCATGTATGTTTATAAAATTAAAACTAATTAAGTATAATTTTTTTTAAAAGTACGTATTTAAAATTAATATATTATAATTCATTTTTTTCTGAGGATAAATTAAATAATATCATTTATGTAAATAATAAATTTGTTCTTTTTTAATCAGGAGTAAATTTTTATTTTTATAAATATAATACTAATATTTATATTAAGATTTAGTGATTAAGATCACGATTAACAAAAACATAAGTTAATAATATAATTATTTTAATAAAAATATCAATATAATATTTATACAAATGATAAATTTTGAAAATTAATAATATTATTTTATCTTAAAAAATATATAATTAAATTGAATAAAAAAAATATAAAAAAAATTAAATTAAAATTAAAATAATAATATTTGATATTACACGAAACATTAAAAGGGTCACCTGTGACATTAAAATCCTTACACTTAGACAATAAATTTTTTCAAAAAAAATTAAAAACTTAATTGAATTTGGTTTTCAAACCTCACGATATAATTATAACTTTTTTAAAGACGAGATTAACACACCTATCAAGAGAGATCATAAAAAATAAAAAAAAAACTCGGAAAAGATTCGTAGGCACTCGTTCACAATTCCTTGTGCGTATACTATACATATACGTATTCCGCGGAAAAATCCTCGTTAAAAAAAGCAACAAAAAAACAAAAACAAAAAACTTAAGGCTTAAGCTAGTCTTGCTGTTGCGTGGCTTCTCGGAGAAGCTCACAAAGACGTGTCGGCGGATGCGAAGTGGAAAATTATAATATCGATGGCTATACTCCTCTGTCCCCGCGTCTATTCTTCCTACTTTGAATTCAACATCTTAAACAAATCATATAATTCCAAATCAATTTCACTTCAATGCAAATTGACAAAAACATCCCTTAGAACGTGACCTGTCACCGCGTCATCCCACCAAACATCCAAACAACGTCGATCACTTTGGCAGCAACTGTCCTGTACCATAGCATAATCTATTTTCTAATGGAATAATAATAAGATGCCTAAGCCAGACACAGCAAGAATTATCGGAAGGCAAAAATTCAATGAGCGTTGCATGTCTTCGTACGTAATATAACACTATGAAGTGAAACTACATCAACACCTATTTAACATCAAATTACTCCCTCAACATAATTCGTTATTAACGTTGTATATCTCTAAGACAATGGTTAACACGTTTTGCATGAAACTTTGAACACATTTTCGCTGTGTCCAGTAGACAATATACGAGGACGACGAATGACGGGTATGGTATGAGTGTGAAGGGAAATTAAAAGTGCTGCGAGATATATTGACTATTTTAATTAAAATAATAGTATCATGACAAAATTTTATATTAATTTGATATAAAATAATAGTAAAATAATTATAAAATGTAAATTTTTATATTAAATAAAAGTAATGTAATATAAATGTAAAAAAATATAAAAAAATATTTAGGTGTGTAAAAAAGTATTTTTCTTTTTTAATTAATGTGAAGCCTATTTCAACAAGGCAAATAATTGGAATGTGCAGGATCTGTCTTGATATTCTTCATCGACATTCTTTATCTCTTCTTATTACATGTATGACGTGTATGATTTTTTACATATCTTTTAATGCACTCCAATTAAATAATTTGACACTGCACCTGATGAAATTCAAACAACACACCCCTTTTAGAGCGGTGAAATCTCTAAGGAAGAATGGGCTACGTACGCACCTCTTGTACATCTTATTATAATCACAAATTTTGAACAAGACAACAAATAATTAAATTATTTAAAAAAACATAAAGTTATGAAAAGTTTTCTTAACTTAATTTATAAAAAACTAAGTTTAACTTACAAATGTTATTTTCTAAATGTCAGAAAAAAATATTTAAACAAACTATAATTTCTTTAAAAGGTAAACACGGGGCTTACGCTTCTTTTTATTTGAAAGGTTTTAGTTTTCATGTCCAATGAGATACCTTTTAAAGTTGCTTAATGAGATACCCTTTTAAAATTGCTTAATTAGGTAAAGTGCACTTAGTTATTTTGAAACTTACCGCCTTAAAAAGTGTACTTAACTCGACCGCACTTATACCTTGATACAAGCGTATATACGAGAGCGTAGCCAAACGTGGTCTCCAAGCAACCTTTCCCAATATCTAGACCCACCCTATATTTCTGCCTCTTTTATAATCTCTATATCCTCTTTCTCTTTCTCTCTCCGAACAAGAACCAACCAGTTAGGGAAATCAAACTCAGTTCAATAATTGAATCGTAGAGACTACGTACAGAAGAAGCAAATCTGGAATCCCGGTACGATTAAATTCTCTCTTTCAAGTTGATTCAGAATCAACTAGCTTTACCTTTCTTAACCCTTTTTCATCTAGTTTTATTAAGGAGCTCATATTGTAGGAGGGTTTGGAAGAAAATTAAAAAGTTTTTGCTTTTTCAGATATACGTGCATGTGCAAAAGGAAACTAACACAAAGATGACATGGTGTAATGACTCTGATGAGGAGAAGAGGATTGAATCAATGATTGTTACTCAAAAGACCAGTGTCACTGACATAAAACTCCACGAAGAAATTCGAACTGTAACATGCCCCTCCTGCGGCCATAACATTGAATTCAAAGATCAGGTATTACCATATACTTCAACGTTTCTATTTCAAATCCTTAAACACGTATGTTTCCTTAACCTATATATGATTGTTCTTTCATCTTTTAAAGTTGTTGTTTTAAGAACCGCCTTTAATCACTTTTGTATTGTACGTGCGATGAACTGTTAGGGTGGAATTCATGACTTGCCGGGGTTACCAGCTGGAGTGAAATTTGACCCAAATGACCAAGAAATACTAGAGCATTTAGAGGCAAAAGTGGGATCGGATGCATGCAAGCTTCATCCCCTTATTGATGAGTTCATACCAACTCTTGAAGGCGAGAATGGGATTTGTTCTACACACCCAGAAAAACTACCAGGTGCTCCATGTTTTACTTTATTTTATTTTTAATTAATATCATTTTTTCTATAATTAGTAGTATAGTTTGGTGTTTTAAAATACCTATTGAATATATGTTGTGTATGCATCATTGAAATTCTCATTTACTGAGAGACACACGTATTGCCGGACACGACACCGCATGCATGAAATTAATTGTTTTAGTAATGAAATGATTTTTTCTTTGAAAAAAGATCTATAATCATAAGGCGGTTGAATATGACAGCAAAATATTTTATGTTCTCAGTATGAAATCAGATCTAAGATATTAACATTGTAATAATTTTTTTTTTTTGGTTTAAAAATGGTCTTTCTAAACATTCATCTTATTTAGTCAAAATTCAGATGAGTTGGAAATTCTGGCATATATACATATAAATGAAAGTTGGACATCCTGAACAAATTGTGTCTTTCTTGATTCGTTGTTTTTGCTATTGTAACGTGGCAAAGAAAACTTTCCGTACAGATTGTGTCGTTCTTAAGATGATTTATGTTGAAACAAAGAAAAATATTAGAATGACGCACCTTTTCTATATAACTAACTTCTTGTTCAAGTATGTTGCAAGAAAAGTTCTTAAGTTAGCAATGACTACCTAACTCAAAAGTGGCATTCTATCTTACACTAATTAGCCATGTAACAAGATCCGAAAATGAAAATCAGCCCATAATTATAAGAATTTTTAATTTTATTTCATGTCATACTTAAATCTTTATATTGATTATTTAATTATAAAATGTAATTCATAATATATTTTATTGAATTTTTATTATAATTATCTTAAAAATTGTATTAGTAGTGATTCATAATGTAAAACTTTTTATAAATGTATAATTACTAAAATCTTAGTTTTTTTTACAATGACATTTATGTAACTGTTAATTAAAAGAATATATCCTTAAATTTAAGAACTAAAGCGAGTAATTTTCTTTTCTTTTTTATGATGCTTCAACCACACCCTTAGTCTAATTGAAGTAGAGCTAACGATTCATGAGTATTGATACATATAAATATACGCATACTTTATTAACCAATATGTATATATATAAACTACAAAACTATTGTTAGCCATTCATTCGTGGTATGAGTATATGTACGTATTTTGGGTAGATGTAACTTTTGTTTTCATCTATAAATCACCTGTACACTTGAAAAAACAAAATTAGCCTACACGATGTTGAAACAATCATCCTTCCTCATTTTATTCATTTCTTAACTACAATTTTGTCCTGGAAAAAAATCATTACACACGAAACTCTATTTGTCTCACCTAATATGACCTCTACTTCTGTTATTCATACCTTATGCTTCAATTCTCATATTCTAAATAACCTTATCATTAAATTAGCTATACGGTAATGAAATTACACATTTTATTATTTTTTCTCTGTTTATATGTTTCTTCATCGTGTCATATATCAGCTGTATATCTATGTATGTATTTACCATGGATGTCTATCATTTTTCTATTCCTTAATAACATTCATCAATATAATGTTTCATTTCTTATTACACTATCACTGTCTTTCATTATTAATCTAGCTGATCCTTTGAGCAAGTCACGTAGGATAATAAAGTGACTAATCTCAATTGATGAGAATATGAATGATGATTTTCAATCAGTGCACACGTCTATTAAATTATGAATGCCTTAGAAAATTGACCGTTCGTATTGTTATGATTTTGCTATGTTTCCTTTAGAGAACAACATTCTTTCACTGTATATGTGTTGTATTATGTCCAGAAAATAATATACATGTTACGGTGTAATGCATATATAAAAATCTAGTTTATATGACCAAATGCAGGAGTGGGCAAAGATGGACAGATCCGCCACTTCTTTCACAGGCCATCAAAAGCATACACAACAGGAACAAGGAAAAGAAGAAAGGTTCACACAGATGAAGAAGGAAGTGAAACAAGATGGCACAAAACGGGAAAAACTAGAGCTGTTTTTGCAGCTTGTGGTGCTGTGAAGGGCTTTAAAAAAATACTAGTACTCTACACCAACTATGGCAGGAAAAGGAAGCCTGAGAAGACTAATTGGGTGATGCATCAATATCATCTTGGCAGCACTGAAGAAGAGAAAGATGGAGAATTAGTTGTTTCAAAGATCTTCTATCAGACACAACCCAGACAATCCGGTAATAATCCCAATATCATAGAGGAGCCGTACGAGAAAATGTTGAATGCTGATTTTAGGGGTCACAACAACAATACATCAATACCTAAAACTACAACTATGGTGGATTGCTACAATGTTCCTTACATAAATTATGATGATGTCCATTCACAACTAATTATTCCCAGCTCGGTTGTTGCAGCTGATGACTCTTACATTCGCTATGCAATGGATGCAAAGAAAGCAAGATTTGAAACTAACACTGGGAAGAGTTTCTAGGTAAAGAGTAGAAGTGCTTGATATAGGGTTTTCCATACTAATTTAGTTATAGTATTTATTATATGACCAGTTATAGGATGAAGAAATTACAGAGTTGGACTAGTAAGTTGGCTTCCTTGTTGAGATACGTATGGAGTAGAAGTTTAGAGCCAGGCTAGGTATATATATGTATTTGGACTACTCTAGTTTGATTTTTAACTTTAGGGAACACGTACTTTCCTAGAATGTGTTTATAGATATTAAGATGTAGTAGCAGGATTTGTTAGAATATTTTTACCGAAATACATTGGAGATTATGTAACTCTAAAATATGAGTTGTTTATATAAAATATTTGACATCATTTTTAACATAAAATATTAAAACTTAATTTGTCTACTATTATAAATCACACATAAAACATAAGACTTTAATATCTGTGGGTTTTATTTTTATAAACTTTCAATTCAATCTTAAATTGTTTTGACAAGTTATTGAGTTTTGATTCCTTAAGAGAACTATCTCATGAATTTATATATTTCATTTTTGTCCATAATCCAGTTCTCACCCCTCGATCCTAAATAAATTGGTGAGATGTTTCAATGATATACAATACATCTGAGCAACTTTTCTGGGAAGTTTATGCAATAGAACCTTCTTTTTCTTTTAATGGGATGATGAAATAATCTCAAAGTCGTAGATTCGTTGTTACTTGTTCCATGAGTTTATCAGGAAAGACTTTTTACAACTCTCTGTTACCTTAAATTTAGTATTTTTATCTATCTACATCTTTATCTCTATGTATATAATTACATGCAGTTTATTTATGGATTGACCTCAATTATTAATATATTCTTTTTCTATTCACAAAATAAATAATTTATTTTCTTATGTTGTTAAATTTATATCGTAAAGATAAAATATTATATACATGTGGTTTGTGTAAGTAACTATTTTAAACTATTTCGAGTCAAAAGAATGGATATGGAAATTATACATAATTCCTTCCCTATAAAATAGGAACATATTTTCATTGAGGGTAACTTATACAATATTAAATGATCTAGAAAATACGAGGCAGGATGCCGTAGTTTTTTAAAATGATTTTTGGACCAAATGTTATTTAACTCTTTAAAATGCGTTGTATAAAACAATTTTATATTCAATTTCATCATTCTAAAAATAGGCTAAAAATATGCTTATAATAATTCATATTCAATATGTTTATGTCAATCATGAACATTTTTTTGGATGTTTATAAATATTTTTTATTTATAAAAATTTTACTTATCTCATTTATTGTAAAAAATATATACTCTACATAATTGTATTAAATGGACTAATAATAAGAAAGTTACATCTATTATATTACAATAGAAGAAAATAAAATATTAACAAATTTATTTTATTTTGTTTTTAAGTGTTTCAAAAATTAGTTTTTTAATCATTTGATATTTTTTATTTATATTTATTTTTACTGTCATTTGAGTAGGAAAATTATTTATTATAATATAAAATAAAAATACTAGTAAATTTATCTTATTATTTATTTGTTTAATTGATAAATGTTTCAAAAGTTAATTTTTAAAGGGTTAAATATGTTTTTAGTCCCTAAACTATTGGCCGTTTCTGGTTTTCGTCCCTCTTTCAAAGTAAGGTACAATTTAGTCCTCATTCTTTTCAAAACGTTCGTTTTAGTCCTCGGAATTTTGGTTTTAGTCATCATTTGTTGCTAAATGAGGACCAAATTTTTAAACAGTGTTTAGTTTTCGAGGACTAAAACGAACGTTTTGAAAAGAATGAGGACCAAATTGTACTTTACTTTGAAAGAGGGACGAAAACCAGAAACGACCAATAGTTTAGGGACTAAAAACATATTTAACCCATTTTTAAATCATTTGATATTTTTAGTTTCATCTTTAAACATTAAACGAGTATACAAAAGTTAAATAAAATAATTTACATTTAAAGTAGTAAATTTTTTATACTATTTTTTATTCTATTTTTTTAATTTTTTTGTAATTTTTAATTATTTAATTATCTAATAAAATAAAATTAAAAAATATATATTTTATTTTTATTTTTAAAATGATATTATTTTAAAATTAATATATATTTATTGATAATACAAATTATTTAGTNTTAAAGGGTTAAATATGTTTTTAGTCCCTAAACTATTGGCCGTTTCTGGTTTTCGTCCCTCTTTCAAAGTAAGGTACAATTTAGTCCTCATTCTTTTCAAAACGTTCGTTTTAGTCCTCGGAATTTTGGTTTTAGTCTTCATTTGTTGCTAAATGAGGACCAAATTTTTAAACAGTGTTTAGTTTTCGAGGACTAAAACGAACGTTTTGAAAAGAATGAGGACCAAATTGTACTTTACTTTGAAAGAGGGACGAAAACCAGAAACGACCAATAGTTTAGGGACTAAAAACATATTTAACCCATTTTTAAATCATTTGATATTTTTAGTTTCATCTTTAAACATTAAACGAGTATACAAAAGTTAAATAAAATAATTTACATTTAAAGTAGTAAATTTTTTATACTATTTTTTATTCTATTTTTTTAATTTTTTTGTAATTTTTAATTATTTAATTATCTAATAAAATAAAATTAAAAAATATATATTTTATTTTTATTTTTAAAATGATATTATTTTAAAATTAATATATATTTATTGATAATACAAATTATTTAGTTATAATATAAAAACATTGTGCGCTGACTTATTGACTAAGGTAGGTCAATTACCAATGAGTTACACAAAAGATAAGACGTAGGATGTACTCTTTGAACGACAGAAATTGGACACCGTACATCTTATCCATCTTTTTTTTTTTTTTATCACCAAAACTCATCTATTCTACGTATTCTGTATTCAGAAGAAAGGAAATTACAAAATTATGTACAAACAAAATACCAAAAGAAAAACATTCATGGGAAAAGTTTTCATTTGAACGGGGAAGATTTTGAAAATAATTTATATTTTATAAAAAAAAATTATGATAAGGTATGTAATTAAAAATGAAATTAAAACTTTGTAAAAATAATTTAATTTTAATTAAATGTAACCTAAAAAGTATAAATTAATTTTAATTTTAATTAAGTTTAACTTAATTAAATATAAATTTTATTTTATTTTAATTTTTTTTAGATAATAGATATATGTGATACGAATAATATAATACTAATCCATTTATAAGCTATCGGTAACAAATTTACAATTGCAACTATTTTTGTCATTTTCAACTTCTATTATAACTTTACTTTTTTATAATTTTACACAAAAGTTGTATGATGTGCTTAAGGTTTTGTTTTTGAAGTGTTGGTATGTCAACCACACGACTTAGTCCAAATAAGTATTTTAACTTTTTTAAAATTTGTTTATTTTTGCAAATTTATCCTAGTTATATAAAAAAAATCTCAATTTTAATACTAATATAACTAAGTTCAAATAATGTGTAGGTGTCATTTGACATAGGATAATTTTTAAAAAGTTTAAATTAATTGTGATTATTATTTAATTGTCATCTAATGTTATTTTTTGTATTATTGATATAAGACAATATTATTTCCCACCTAATTTATTATTTTTGTTAACATCAATAAATATTATTTTTTTATTGATATTATTAGGAATTAATCACAGAATAGATTAAATTGCATCTCAACTAATGTTAATAAGATTTTTTTTTACCAACGCTATCAAAAATATTTTTTGGCCAATGCCAATTACAATTTTGTATAGATGCTAATAAGATTTTTTACTACTGGCTAAGGTTTTTTTTCAATCTTAATAGAAATTATTTTCCGATTGACATTATTAGAATTATTTACCTATCAATATAGATGAGAACTAATTGATTTTTTGTCCAAGTTTTTTAACAAATATCAATAATATTAATTTCCACTAATTTTAAACTGTATATTATTTTGGTTAAAGTTTATCCTGATTATTGTTAATTGATGTCTTCAGAATTCAAGTAATAATTTTTGTATTTCGAGATAAAAGAAATATATATTAAAGTAAGAAAATTAAAATTTGAGAAGTATAATAATTTTTCTACAATTTTTTAAAATATATTTAAAATTTCTTAAAGTTATGAAATTATATGTAACATAATTTTCTTAATAAATTATACCAGGTATAAAATAATTTTACATAATGTTTTTTCAATGTGATATTAATATATTTCTAATTATTTGTTGCTTGTAGAAATTTCTCAAGTTTGATGTTTACTCAATAATCAAACTTAGATTGCTACAAAACATGCCCTGATTTGGTTTTGTTATTGGGTTGTCATTAGCTGTCTATTTTATTTTTGGAAAGTAGGTTGATTATAAGTTATTAAGACCAAACTTTTTGCTTTTCCAAAAATAAAAACCTTTCTTATATTCAGCATTTGCATACGTAATTTTTTTTCAATATTATAATTAGTCTTTGCCCTCATTCTTTGCCATTGCTGTTTTTGTGAACCTTTTCGTTGCGATTCAGCTTCTGAGTAACCACGAGTATAATGCAAGCAAAATAGTTTTGTATTAATATAATAAAAATTTAATAAAAAAACAAAATATAATAATGGAAAAATGATTTTGAAGAATGTTCTACTAAGAAATTTCGATGTTCATACAAATTAGTCACCCTAGAAACTCATACTCAATTTTAATTGGCAAAGTTTTAAACAACTCAAAACAATTCATTATTACTTTTATATATTTTTTTTATTTAGACCTTCTTATGATAGATCATAGTATTTATTAATATAAATTAATTAAAAGTTGATTATTTTATTGGGAAATTTATAATTAAAAGCTAATTAATGCTTTTGTAAAACAATTAATTCAAAATGAGTAATCTATGATAACCATGTTTTAATTTAAAAATAATACAAGTATATTGAGTAGTTGAGTTGATTTTATTATCTTGATAAAATATAATTTGAGTACCATGTCAAAAATTAATTTTACCATAAGAATAAAACATTTCATCTTTGCCTAAACAAACTATATTGATCATAATTAGTTTTTTTTTTTTCTAAAAATATTGACTCTTGCCTTTTTGCTTTTAACGAGTATTTTGACTCTTACCCCTATTAATCTTTCTTCTAGATTATAGTTCAATCAAATGATACTATTTACACCTCTGTATAATTGTCCAAATGATGGTTTAATACTCTCACACCGTTGAAATATTTAAAAGGAAAGTTTAATCCTTTACTCTTTGTTTACTTGAATGGATTTGAGGGAGAATAATTGAGTGGATTTGAGGGAAAGTAATTGAGTGAATTTGAGAAGATTTGAAGATAAATTTTTTTATT